ATATATATATGTGTGTATATTTATTATAAAGTTGTTTGAATTGCTTCACATTTCAAAACATCATTGTTACTCAACCATTTTCGGAATGGTGTTACAGCTCTTTATCTTCTCTGGGCGTTTTCAGCCATTTAATCTAATCAAAAAACATTCGTACGACAACGCAGTCTCGCGGGTACTCCTTTGAATACGTTAAACTTATATTTGCTCTACATGTGTTTCGGCTATGAATCGAAGCACTTTGCGCCTTTTGAATAAGCTAAACTTATATTTGCTCTACATGTGTTTCGGCTATGAATCGAAGCACTTTGCGCTGCCCTTCGTGCCTTTGTACAACTATGTCATTCCCGAAGTGCATATCACAATGACAGATCGTGCGTTGTCTATAACCGATATATAAACATACATCTCTACACTTACCACACAAAAAAAGGTATATATTGAGACCTCGACATGTATGAAAATTCCCAAACTATAACTGACACTATGTGAGCGACGCGAGCCCAAACTATAACCGACACTGTGTGAGCGGCGCAAGCTCTGTCAAAGTAGAAGCAGTAGTATGTACATAAATTTGATCAGTCTAAAAAGACCTGCTAGATTCCGATTAATAATAGCTCCAAAACCATTCATCAGGTGCGATTTCTGGCGTTTTGTCGTACAAACAAACGGTGACTTTTGTATTCGGTCAGATCGAGGCGCACTAGATTCTCAGCTAGATGCTGGGATGGAATCTGATGATACCCGTGGTCGGGTCAAACATAGAGGAAATATTCTGCATTTATAATTAAAATACATACTTCAACTTTAACTGTATGTCGTGGATTCTCAATGGTGGCAAATATGTAGAGTACGTACTCTCATTCAAAATAAATACACCGACGATAAGCTGTCCACCAATTGTTGTGGCTACCACTTCCAGCTAGCGTTCCCATTGTGGCGGTAATAAGAACCGAACATTCGGGTCTATGCCAGATACTATGCTAAAGGGTTTTTTCCGTACAGTCTTCGTAGACTATTTATTCGAATTTTGTTTGGATTTTTTGACAGTTCGCCGGACACTAGTAGTTAAATAAATCATTTCCATTGCTTCGCCCGACAGTACTACGCACGTGTGATTGCCTAAAAGCTCACCGCGTGCGCCAATCTTCCTAGTGATATCCTAAGCAAAGCTCTTACGCGACCACACTCGGGCCTGAGAGCCCACAATTGATCCATAAGACCTTACTATAATACCCCACCAGGAACATACGCATGCCGAGTCCACACCTAATGGATGCTGAAACACTCATGTCCACTATCAGTTACCTGACACAATACTAAATATTGACCCGTACAGCACTCTACTGGGCGCTCGCAATTCCTCTGAAACAGTGATGGTGCAAGCGCACATGTAAACTGACTCACGGGCCAGGCATAGACCAATGCACGTTTTGCTTCTACAATCAGGCCAGATCATGATGCGATCTCGGGTTCGTAGCGAGGCTCCACCTCCGCCTCTTCGTCCTTCTCCTCGGAATCCTTGTCTCCAGTGTAGCCTTTCTGATCCTGTCGGTGGGGTATGGTGCACACAGCGTGTTGAGCGACGGACAAGCTGACCCAAATGTGCCTCTATCTGTCACTAGACTTCAGCTGTGACTATGTTTGCAAAAA